TTTTTTTTTTTTTTTTTTTTTTTTTTGGTTCTCAACCAAAAAAGTGTAGTATTACATATTAGCTAGTATTAATGAATGAAATTCAGGCTAAAATCCAGATTATCTAATTCATTGCGGCCTTTTTCACCGGTATTCCGTTAATGCTATAAATATATATACAAATATATATAAATATATACACACCTTTTATACATAATTAATTAATACAAAAGTCTTTTACAAGGGGATACATATTGTGAAAAATTAATTAAGTTTAGTTAGAATATGATTGCAGATATATCTATCGATCACTGTTTTCCATCGATATATATATATATATATATAATCTTAGATGGAGGGAGGACGACGTTGGGCGCACAAATGAGAGAATATATAATATCTATCATGCAAACTGAATTATGAATGCTTGCCGCGCGCGTCATTTTGCTAGCTGAGAGCTAGCGAGGAGACTAACTAGTTAATTAATTAAATTATATATATTGTACCAAAAAATAAACAACTATATATTGTATTAATATATCTCAAAAACAAATTCATTTCTTCATTTTATTAATATTGTATATTATAGTTGTTGCTAGTCCATAGCTAGAAAACTTTTTCGCTTACAAAAATGGAATAATTAAGAGTAGTAATTAAGGGTACCGGAAGTTGTATATCTCTTCAATAAGATAAAGAATAGTGTGAGTGATCGTCATGCCTCTTCTTCGATGTATAAGATGTGCCAGATTTTAGGGTAGTGGTGCATGCTCACCGTTAAATGATCGAGGTGACATTCTCGATCGTTCGTGTGTGTGTGTGTGTGTCTGTGTAGTGATGGGGAGATTCCAAAGGGATCATTGGCCATGTGCCTTGTTGGGCTCCACATCAGCTTATCCAGTTTTACGTATGATGCTGTGTCTTTGAGCAATATATGCCTGTTAGTTATAATATATTTTTGTCTTGAGTTAAAATCTACTAATACATAATTATATATAATTTATTAGTTTTGAAATCTTGACATATAACTGTTTGTCTTATACGTACATATACACCGATATTCTAGCTAGCCATATTTTAGGTATAACAATACTAATGTTTTAGGTAAGCTAGGTGGCTGGTGAGAACAAAAATGGTGCACATAATAGCTAGCAGCATTATAAATTTATTAAGATCAAATATGCACGTACAGATTATCTAGACTAGAATATGGTGCATCATAGTTGAATGATTTTGCAAATTTAAAATGAAAGATTTATGAATAACGTAACGTTGAAAGGACTTAAAAAAAATACCATCATTGAAATTTTGAAGAATATTTTTTGGCCGAATCAAGTTTGGAGACCAAATTAATGCAAAATGGAAAGATGAGGGATGATTTTAGGTATTAGACCTTTTTTTTCTCTTTTTCATTTTTTCTTTTCTAATAAAAAGGTATTAAACCTTATACATTTATTGGTGAGTTTTTTTTTTAGATAAATATTTATTGGTGAGTTAGAGAGGTCCATATACAGACTACTAGCCATGTATTGTACCATATGGTAGACTAAAGGCACGTTGACATTCTCAGAAAGAACAACTAATTAAATGCTATAGTTAGCTAGCTAGCTGTCGCCAGATTCCCATGCAATTAAGCGTCTCAGACTCTGGGAATTAAACTTTATGGCACTGCATGCAGTTGATTATGTAACTTTTTTTAATAAATTATTTAAAAATCATATTAAATCAAAAATAATTTAAAATTAAATTGAGTTAAATTATATAAGAATAAGTTATTTAATGTTTATCTCTTTATTTATAAAATTTAAGTTTAAAACTTTATTTATAAGAAAAATTAAACTTCTTTTACTCATACTAATAGATTATTAGTGCAATTGATCATGTATATTGACTTTAAAGATCAAAGTGTTTTCAAACCAATTTTTATACACTTTAAAATCAATTTTTTTTTAGGCAATAACAAGGGAGATATTAATTAGGAGGCATTTTTTATATGTGCTTGGTATAATTAAAGAAATATAAAAGCAAAGAGCAATTTGCACAAGAAAAATTGAACTAGAACATTCTCTTAAGGAAATTAATTCAACAATATTTAGGGAGATTGCTAATTTTTTTGGGGATGACACTTGAAATTTAAATTCTAAACCTATAATTTATAAGACAAATATTTACCATGGCTGGTTGATTATATATAAGATGTGAATATTAGTATTTTGAGTGTATTTTTCTACACCCAAGTCGCAACGGGAAAAAAAAAAAAGTAGTTTCATATTATATTTTACATTATTTTATGATAATGTTATGAATATAAACTTTTTTTTTAGTTGGTAAAAAAAAAAAACTTTTTTCGTGTAATTTAATTTATGTAAAGGAAAAGTATTTTGTAGGTGATTCTCTCAATATTTTCTTGCAAGAATCATTTAAAACTCATTTTATAATTAATATTTTGAAAAACTAACCATTAAATTGAAAATTATATTTATATAGATCATGCATATGAATTTTCTTATTTTTCTAATAAGTTTAACTACTTTGTTAATTGCATAAAATTTAACACTATTAAATGTATGTCAATGAATAGAATTTTTTATTAAAAATTATAAATATTATATCAATATGATAATTAATATATATGATGTAAATAAATAAAGTTTTGATCACAGAGTTGGTTTTTCAAAATATTAGTTACAAGATAAGTTTTTATTTAAATCCTCAAAAAAAGTTTTGGATGACTACCAACCCTAAGCTAACCTCTTCCAATATGATTTACAACTTTTTTTTTCTAATTTAGTATTGTATTTTATCCATTTATGATTATCAAAAAAATTCATTTATTACTCCCTTTATTCAATTGCATTAAACCATTTTTTTGTTTAAAAATCTAGAAATATAATAACCAATATACTTTTATATTTATTCATAATTAATCACCACTTAAATAAGATTCTTTACATAAGATATGTTGTAATTATATTTTTAAAATAAAGCTAAAATAAAAATAAACGTATTAAATGATATTCTAAAAAAATAGACAACTAAATCTAAAAAATTTAAATTAAAAATTAAAATTAAGTCCAATAAATTTGAATAAAAAGAGTATAAGAATTATGCTTATCTTTTTTTCTTTCGTTCTTTCTTGGTAGGTTTTTTAACGATTTACTGATTTGAGTAGAAAAAATTCAATATCTCTTAAATAAAATCTCGAATTTAAATCTTACAAATGAAAAAATTGACGTTGAAAGAATTTTTCATTATAAAGTTTGATGTATTTTGATCTTGAATTAATTAAAATTTAATGTAACTTTTAAATACTAAAAATTAATAAATAAAATAAAATAAAGCAAAGAGTCAGGCGTTAAACCTTATATTTAGTCGGTCGGTCATGCATTGAAAGCCTAGCTGATTTTTTTTTTTTCTTTTTTTTTTGATAGAAAACGAGAAAAGCCTAGTTGATGCTAAACTAGGCTTTCATATTTAATACAGGGAAGATTAATTCAACAATACTCGGCGGCGCCCCCAATTGCCACCTTCTACGGGTATCTAGCCAGTAGGCGGCGGTCCTCCTTTCTCATTCTTATCCTACAATAATAATATAACTATATTTCTTGCATCCTAGTACTCTCACTATTTTTTTCTAGTTATCTTAACTTATCCGTACATTTATGTTTGGAAAGTATTATATATATAATAATTATTTTTTTGATAAATTAAAAAAATCTATGTACAAGAAAAAAATTTAAACTTATATTTTTTTACCTTCAAAATAATTATTATATATTATAAGATTTTTTTTCAACATCTACATGATCAAATTAGGACTTATTATTAATGAAAAAATATTTTACAGTTTTAACTATAAAATAATAACTGTTTTAATACTTCTTTATTTTAAAATAATAAATATTTTTTATTTAATTTATAAATTAAAAATGTTAGAATAATTTATATTTATATGATATGATCAATACTTGAAATTAATAAACAATCACAAGATTAAAGAAAAAGATGTTTGTCCTCATTAAAATATATTAAAAAATATCTATTACTTTAAAATAAACTCTAAATTTTTTTAAAAAAAATCTACTATTTTAAGATAAAAAAAAGTATATGATATTATCGGTCTAATTAAAGAGATTTGATTTTTAAATATTTTCAGTTCATCCATGCATGGTGCTAGTAGTCTAAGACTTTTTGGAAGAATATGTATTGTATTGTGTTATACTATTATTGTAGTTATAGATTTTGTTATCTTTTACTATCTAAAAATAAGTAAATTTTAATTAAAATTAATAAAAACATATAAAAATTAATTAAAATAATATATTTATATTTTTATATAAAATAGTGCTTAAAAAAATCTATAATTGTATGGCATACAGCATTTTCTTTCGGTATTTTATTATTAGTTACATACGGCTAGCAGCATCAGATACGTCCAATACAAAGTATTACGAACATGCAGGTGCAGGCCCAACTTAATCA